TAGAATGTGTCTATGGATCATTTCATACTGCAACAACCAGAGTCTAAAGTCACTAATGGTCTAATGAAATATATTTTTACAAATTATCAACTCCCTGCCAAGGAAGTGGATAGACATTGGTAAGTGTGGCTTAGGCAAGAGATTTCCTTCCTCTTTGTGTGTCCTAAGAGTGGTTAAGATATTGGGGGCCTGGATTGGGGTAAGGGGGAATCTAAGCCACAAAAATTTTGAGTAGTCAGTCTCCTTAAGAGAAAAACAAGAAAGATTCTACACAGATTTTATAGTGTACGAATCTCCACCTTGGTAGATATATTTAATGGCCAACTTGAAAATGTAATTATCATTTCTGTATTTTTTAAAAAAATATCTCTAAATATAATTATACAGATTAGATCTGCATATTCAAAGTAAGAATCTCAGTTGTTCCCTTCTTAGTTTCTTCTAGTTTCCTTTAAATGAACTTAGCTAGAAATTCAAGTATTTTTTACTCAGTGTAGATTTCTGGCTCTCTAAAAGTAGAAGAAACCATGCTTTCACCAGGTCCAAGCTGGCAAACTTGCCCGTAGTCTCGCAGTGAGTCACAGCTGGAATGTCCTGTGGTTAACATTCTGCTCTGAAAACAGAATCAAGAGCAGCAAGACACCAACAGGTTTCCATGGTAACCTGTATTTGTGTACTTTGAAAAATGACTGTTACTTTTTGTGCGGTAAATTTACGCGGGAATGAATTGTGAAGGTTGACGTTAGCCATCTGTGTGAATATACACACAAAAAACCCTGATTTAATTAAGTGTAAATGTTAAAAGGACATAAAACCGGGGGTATGGGTTTTTTTTCCCCTCTCCTGAGGCGTTGTTCTACACTAATTAATTCATTAATTTATTTGACATTGTATGTCAGCGTTTTCAAGCATTTATTGGTTATTTATTTCAGTGAATCATTCCTTCCCCTCCAAAGGCAAAAAGAAACTAATTGTCATTCGTCAGTGTTCCCCAAACCCACCGCCTTTGCCCCCCACCCTCTGATCCATTCACAACGTGTTATTTAAGATCACTGAACAGCTAGGAGGCAGGGCTTTCCTTCCATGAAGTAATCCCACCGGAAGGAAGGAAGGGGAAAAAAAAATCCCCTCACAGTCATGTGAAAATGTCACATCTTTTAACCTTGCCGCACTGGGAGGCAAAAAAACACTGCATTGTTCATGACCTTGAGGAGAATCAAAATATGATTCCTCAGTGTTTTGCCTCCAATACTTTGTAAGATTCATGGAGCTTGGGTGTATATGGAAATGTTACCTTCATTTTTGTTGGATAAAGATGAAATCGTTTCAGCTTTGTTCACTAAAACTGCAATCCAGAGTTCAGAATGAGCCCTTCAGGGTGGAAGATAAGAAAGTATTTTCTTACTTTTTATGTTTCTACTTGGGAACAGAATGTTTATTTATTTATTTATTTTTTTGTCTTTGGTTTCCAAGTGGACTTCATGTAACAGACTTAATAAAAACTCTGAAGCTGAGACACCCTGCAGTAAAGCAGTGATTTAGAAGCACAGAGATTGCAATGGTGGCCTCCCCGCCACCACTTCACCCCTGCATTACAGGGGTGAAGCCTGAGCTCTGAGCTCAAGGACTTTGTTTTTCTTTTTAAAAATGTTATGGCTTGTTATTGTTTCCCCCCTGTATTCTCCCTCCCTCATCATGGCTTAATATGTACAACATCAAAAACTTGATATGAAACACACGTTTCTGAAGCAGTAGTTTTGTTTTGTTTTGTTTAAAGAAAACTAAAGTGATAAACCTAAAAAACACAGCTCATCTTAATTCAGTTTGCTGACAAAGCTTAGATTTCACACTGAGAGGTGAACAGAATGGATGTCTCAGTTTCTCTTTTGAAATCTCTGCTGACCTTCCCCCAAATCTCACCAACATGTGTGCCTGATAAATAGCTAAGAGACCTCAGGGAGACAGATCAAGATTTAGAAATCTGATTTATTATGACTTTGGACAAGGCTCCACCTTGTTCCCCTTTCTTTCTTTGATTTTTAAATATATTTTTTACTTATAGGTGGACACAATACCTTTATTCTATTTATTTATTTTTATGTGGTGCTGAGGATCAAACCCAGCACCTCATATGTGCTAAGCAAGCACACTACCTATCACTGAGCCACAATACTGGTTCCTTTTTCTATGAAGTGGCCACAAAGGGTCCAGACCCTTTCCTGCCTACCAGGATTAGGTTGAAATTGAGGACTGTATGAAGCTAATGCCTATCTAGCTATATAGGAATCAAGGAGTAGTGCAGATTAAATCCTTAAATGCAGTTGTAGGGAAATTGTTGTGCCCATTCATTGGAGATGTATTGAGAAACTGCCCTTTAATGCTCTGCTCTAGGTGGAGAGAGGAAAGCCAGAGGTATTCTGTCTTGTAAGAATCCACAATCAGTTAGGGGCAACAAGAGGCCTCCCCTGTGACTATAATGCAAGATAATGCGACCATTTGCACATGAAAGGCGCTAAAGGGTTTCAAAGGAAAACTCAATTTATGCCTGAGTGTGGGGATTAGGGACGCTTCACAGAGGTACTCTGTAAAATTTGGTTATAAAGTGTTCCATACTTGATATGTTTCAAACTAGTTTTTATCATAACATTTCATTAAATCAAAGTGATTTGGTCAGTTTGCAATTTACTGAATCCAGTTACCCACTGATAATGTAAACTCACATATAGTCTTACATATATACATACTTTTCAAGAGACTATTCAAGGAAGGTCATGCATCTGTCCTCAGATATTTTCCATTTTAAGGCCACAGGAAGCTAATCCCAAGGGCAACTGGAACAAAGTGTTTAATGTGGACATCAAAGGGACTAAGAGAAATTATAATGATCTTCCTCAGGAGAAGCCCAACCTTTTGGACTGGCATTGTCTTTCCCAAGTAAAGAGAGACTGTTTTCTTGTTTGTTAATTTTTAATTTGGAGATCTGTGTTTGATGAGGTTATTCAATGATGCAGATAAACCGGGTGCACAACGTTTGTAGAAATACCTCCATTAAAAAAAAAAAAATGGGTAAAGACCTCATCAGTCTAAACATGAAAAAAAAATCTTTAGCCTCAAGATCCCAAAGTAATAAAAATAACCCAAACTAAGACAATTACTCAAAGCACAACTTTTCACTATCAGTTATAAAAATAATAGGAGTCATAACTGACAAAATTCCATTGAGAGAAACATCTGTAAACAGCAGGTGAGAGGGTAATTTATTATAAATTCTCTGGTGTGAAATTTAATACTAGTATAATAAGAGCCACAAAAGATTATATTCTGACTAATTCCCTTTATTGGAATGTTTTTAAAGAAACATTTAAACATCGAATATTTATACTGGCAAAATTTGGTTATATGTTAAATGAACAAAATCAAATGAGAATGCAAATCCTGCATTTAATGCCACAGTTAAAAATGTTTACACAGACTATTTATTGACATGCTTGGTGAAAAACAGAATATAATTAGATATGTAGCCCAAATTTATACAGACACACATATCTGCACAAATTTATTATATGTGTATCTATAGACAGATAGATACACATACATGTACAAGTGAAAAAGATTGACCAAAATAAATTTCTAGTACTAACAATATATTAACAGTTTTATCTTCAGTGTGATTAATCTTTATGTTTTTCTTTTTCATACCTTCTTAAAATTTCTGTTGTTGTTGTTTGTTTGTTTGGTAAGGGGGATTGAACTCAGGGGCCCTTAACCACTGAGCCATATCTTCAGCCCCCCCCCCTTTTTTTTTGAAATAGGTTTTCCCTAAGTTGCTTAGGGCCTTACTAAGTTGCTGAGGCTGGTTTTGAATTCAGAATTCTCCTGCCTCAGCCTCCAGAGTCACTGGGATTATATGCGCACATCACTGTGCCTTGCTCTAAAAAGTCTTGTTTTTTTTTTTTTTTAAAGGAGAGAAGGAGAGAGGGGGGGGGGATCTTTTTTGTAGATGGACACAACACAATGCCTTTATTTTTATGTGGTGCTGAGAATCCAACCCAGGTCCCGCCTGTACTGAGCGAGCGATCTACCGCTGAGCCACAATCCCAGCTCAAATGTCTTGTTTTTTAAAAAGATTTTTTGGTGCATTACAGTTATACATAAAGCTGGGTTTGCATGGACTGCAATTCGTTTTATTTCAGGCCCTTGTACTTCCTCTTTTCCTCTCTTTCTCCCTCCTCTGTTCCTCTTCTTCTACCCTACTGGTCTTCCTTCTGTTTTTTTAAATTGTTTTAAAATTAATAATTGATTAATTAATTGGTGTTTTATAGATATACATAAAGGTGGACTGTGATATATTTATCTAGGAACATAGGATAATTTGTTCAATTTCATTCCTTAGTTCCTCCCTTTTCCAGTTCCTCCTGTCTTCACTCAACCCCCTTCCTCTATGACACTGATCTCTCTTCTGTTTTCATGAGATCTGCCTGCTCCTCCTTTCCTCCTTATTTTACTCAAGCTTCTGCATATGAAAAAAAATTAATTCTTGGCTTTCTGAGTCTTGCTTACTTCACTTAGCATGATGTTCTTTAGTTCCATCCTAAACTGTGTGATTTTTTTTACAGTTAATAAGGGTTTTATTGACAAATTTATAATTTAAAATTATAATAGCTGCTATTCATTGAGCATCTTTTATGTGTCAATATATAAAGGCAGCTCATTCAGCCCACCATTCTGTACCTGGATTATATTTAGACTTGCTGCATTGACATAAAACTAAAATTAACAGTCAGATTTCCAAATTTATTGGCCTTAGGAATCAGATTCATCTCAAAGCCCTCTTTACACAAATTTCTATTCTTAAATTAAGCCTCCTGTATCCAACCCACTTCAGCAGATTTTCCTTACTTTGAAGCAGGAAAAGTTTTTGCTACACAAATACACTTGGTCTTTTTCCTTCAACAAACCACATGAAATATTGTTACATTGGAAAATGTTTCTGATTTCAGCTCTATGATGGATCAAATCGGATTGGGCGCTACTGCGGAGCAAACATTCCCTCGCCAGGGAGTACCACAGGCTCCAAACTTCAAGTGCTGTTCCATACAGATGGGGTTGGTCATCATGAGAAAGGATTTCAAATGCAGTGGTTCATTCATGGTAAGTCCTGTGCTGATCTTTACTGCATTGTAGTTGTTGCTTAACCAAGAATTGTTCCCTTCCCAATTCTGTCCTTAGAAACAATACCATCAACACCTAAGGGAACCAGAGTAGTAATTTAGTGCTAGGTAAGAGAAATTTTTCTCAGACATTGATAGAGGTTGAAGAGTTAAATTCTTTTAAAAAAATGTTTTTAGTTGTTGTTGGACACGATATATTTATTTATTTATTTATTTATATGTGATGCTGAAGATTGAACCAAGTGCCTTGCACATGCTAGGCAAGTGCTGTACCTCTGAGCCACAATCTCAGCCCCAAATTCTTTTTTTTAAAATGTCCAATGGGTATTTTTATTTTTAATTTTTTAAAAATTAATTAATTTACTTTAATTAGGTATATATGACAGAGAATGCATTTTGATTTATTGTATGCAATTGCAGCACAACTTTTCATTTCTATGGTTGTACATGATGTAGTGTCATGTCATATGTACAGACATACATGTACCTAGGGTGATGATGTCCACCTCATTCCAGCATCCTTCCTGCCCCCATGCATCCTTCCCCCCCTTTCTCCCCTTTGCCCAATCAAGTTCCTCAGTTTTTACCATGCCTCCCCCATCCCTGTTATGGATCAGCATCCACTTATCAGAGAGAACATTCGACCTTTGGTTTTTTGGGTTTGGCTTACTTCACTTAGCATGATATTCTTCAGCTCCATTCATTTACCTGCAAATGCCATAATTTTATTCTCTTTTAATGCTGAGTAATATTCCATTGTGTGTATATACCACAGTTTCTTGCTTTATTCATCCATTGAAGGGCATTTAGGTTGCTTCAGTAAGAGCAACATTCTGAGAGGGTTCAGAGAGGAGAGTGATGTCAAAGATGGAAAGAATTTGGATAGTTGCTTAAGTAGGCACAATGATAAATGCCTTTGAGAAAGAAGGAAGCCCAATGAAATGTGTGTGTTTGGGTATAGCAAGCACACTGCAGGGTGGGATGGGAGTTTTGCAGGTACAACAGTAGAATGAGACCTAAAGCCCACCTTGACATTAAGCAGAGGAAGAAAGATAGGGACACATCAGAGAGATCTGGGAAGGGGAAGAGTGGAGCTGAGGGGAGGAACAGGGCAAAAATTTATGCTGAACAAATGAAGCCAGGTGTGCATTGCACCTGCCAAACAGGGTAGGGGCCCATTGGAGCCCACCGACATACTGGAAAAGTCACTTTTGTGTTTTATTTTATTTTTGGTATTGGAGATTGAACCTAGGGGTACTTTGCCACTTAATTATATTCCTTTTTTTAAATTTTTTAAAAAATTTTGAGACAGTTATTTCTAAGTTGCTGAGGGTTTCACTAAGTTTCTGAGGCTTGCCTCGAACTTGTACTCCTCCTTCCTCAGCCTCCCAAGTTTCTGGGATTACTACCATGCCTGGCTGAAAAGTAATTTCTTAAAAATGTGTTCCTTTTAGATATACATGACAGTGAGTGTATTTTAACATATTATACATACATGGAGTATAACTTATTCTAATTAGGATCCTATTCTTGTGGTTGTACATGATGTGGAGTACCCTGGTCATGTATTCATATATAAGGATAGGAAAGTCATGTCCAATTCATTCTACTGCTTCTCCTATTCCCATCCCTCCACCCTTCCCTTCATTCCCCTTTATCTAATCCAGTGGACTTCTGTTTTTCCCTCCTACCCCCTTTATTGTGGGTTAGCACCTACATATCAGAAAGAACATTTGGCCTTTGGTTTTGGGGGGATTGGATTATCTCGCTTAGTCTGATATTCTCTAGTTCCATCCATTTACTGGCAAATGCTATAATTTTATTCTTCTTTATGGTTGAGTAACACTTCATTGTATATATATGCACTACATTTTCTTTATCCATTCATCTGTTGAAGGACACCTAGGTTGGTTCCATAGCTTAGCTATTATGAATTGAGCTACTATAAATACTGATGTGAGTGCATCACTGTGGTCTTCTGATTTTAAGTCCTTTGGGTACAGGTCAAGGAGTGGGATAACTGGGGCAAGTGGTGGTTCCATTCCAAGTTGAAAAGTCATTTTTAACAAGACATCTGAGACTTCAAGACTGATGCCCTGTGGGTCAGAGCTGAGGTTCTCAAAATGTGGCCCCCAAGAGCAGCAGCAGGATCACCAGGAACTTGTTAGAAATGCAAATTTGTGGCCCCCTGCCAGAACTGTTACGTTATAAACTCTAAGGTCCAATAATCTGTGTCTTAACTGGTCTCCCAGAAATTAAAGTTTGAAAACCACTAACCTAGGGTGATCTATCCCTTGTGGATATTATAGCTGCTCTTCTCAACCAAGATATTAGGACTCATTGGTTTATTTCAGTCAATGGAAGGGAGAAATGGAATTGTGATACAATACCTAGAATCAAGCACAATCACACAGTTGTCTAATCCGTGGTCCTATGGTCAAAACTGGAGGTAAACCTAAGTGTGCTGTGGTTGGCTCATGGAGTCTCAGAGCTACACACCAGTGCCTGTTACAGATACCCTGTTTATTAGGACATAATACTTTTCATTTACAATGGGTTTATATCCCAATAAACCCATTATAAACTGAAAATATCTAAGTTACTGAGGGTTTCACTAAGTTGCTGAGGCTGCCCTCAAACTTGTACTTCTCCTTCCTCAGCTTCCCAAGTTTCTGGGATTACACGTATGTGCTACTAAATCAAATATGCATTTAATACATCTGATCTGCTGAACATGGTAACAGCCAAGCCTACTTTAAACATGCTCAAAACATATTAACCCTAAAACTGGGCAAAAATCATCCTACCTGTAACATCTATTTTGTTATAATAAAGTATTGAATATGAAATTCAAAATTCAAAGTATGATTTCTATTGGATGCTTATCACTTTCACACCATCATATTAAAAACATTTATTAACTCAAACCCTTGTAAGTCAGGGGACCATCTGTATATACTTAAAAGGGTTGGATCTTCTGAGGTTACAAATACTAAGTGTATTTCTGTTAAAATGTAAGTATGAGGTTCTCAACATTTAAAAACAGTCAGTGGTGATCCACAGACTTAAAACATAGATGATGAATTCCTAAGGTAAATAGGCTATGATAATTAAGTTTGTGGAAGTTCTAGATTTTCCTCTTCATCAAGTAGGCAAGTTTAATCTTAGAATGGTCAACACTTTGGACTATTAATGTGAAAGAATTGGACCAATTCATTGCTACAGCATAGTCTTCAGTACTCTGGATTCAGAAACATGGTTATGATCCTAAGTAAAATAGAGACAATATGAGAGAACATAGAAAGGACAGAAAATCCTGGAAAATAACCCATTTTTCAATGGCTAGGGATATTCTTCTCCAGAGCAGTGTTCCTTAATTTTTTCATGTGCACAGAATTGCTCCCTTCTTTCCTTCCTTTTTTCTTTTTCCTCTCTCTCTTTCTTTTTTGCTGTGCTTGGGATCAAATCCAGGGCATTTTACATATGAGGCAAGGACTCTCCCACAGAACTACACCCCCAGCCCTCACTGGGCATCTTGTAATAAGAAAGGTTCTGATTTAAGAGGCCTGTGAACCTGCATCTCTAGTAGGATCCCAGGTGATGCCAATGGTGCTGCTCTCTTGACCTCACTTTGAGGAGCAAGGCAAGAACAGGTGTGAAGCCCGGAGAAATGAAAGGTAGGAAGGCATTATCCTTAGGACTGATGAATCCTGAGGTGTTCCAAGGGCACATTGTCCTAACAGTTTGTTTAATGGCAGTAGGATGGTAACTGTGATACCTGCAAGAGAGAACTACTATTTCAAAGATACAAAGGGGAGGAAACTTTCCCAGGGGAGAAGTTATGAAGGGAAGTGCTAACCTGGGCTCAAGATCTCAGGAGGTGTCCTAATCCTGGAGCCATATTGGAATTACCAAGAAGTTTCAAAAAGTACCCATTCCTGGGTTCCAACTCTCAGAGCTGGGATTCAGTTGGTCAGTGGCTGATGATGGATACATTTTTAAAGACTCCCTAGGTAACTTGGCCTTGCAGTCAGGATGAGTTTCAGAAGCAGTGATTTTGCTGGTTGTATCTTGCAGCCCAGGCTGTGTGGCCATACTAGCCCCTGGCCTTCCTGAGAACCTGATCAAATGGTCCTTGTTGGCTACACCCAGATGACTGCATCACTGGGTTCTTCTAGCCAACATAATGGAATCCTCGGATGAAAGCTCTTAGTTTTTACTGGGAAAAGTTTTTCTACCAGTTCTGTTTGGAATCTGCCTTCTTTTGGGAGAGTCAAAGGCACCCTCTGTCTATTCTCTTTTCCTGTTTACTGTTTCAAAACTTTCCCCCAGTTGTTGAAAACTCACTAAACTTGGAGCCAGAGTTGTGCAACAACATTTTGCTAGTTGGGACCAAAACTGGAAGAAAAAAAAAGTTTAACTCTGTGTTGCCCATTTAATTATACTTGGTAAGCATCTTTTGGAAGGGGATTGCCAGTAGCTTATATATGTGCAAAATTAACTGTGATGTATACTGCATTTGTGCAATGCCACAAGTACACAAAGTTTATGATCCTCATCTGAACTGTGTAACTGCAGAATTACAGCCCTTAAGGAGACTGGGTTGCTGAGCAGTGGCCACAATAGGTGAATCCCATAAGGCAGGGACTCTGGCAGGCAAAGGGGCCACACCGTCTTTCCTCATGCAAATCCTTCATACTTCATAAAAATGTATTTTAAGTAGGGTCTCAAATAATTGGAGCAGTATGGTAAGTGGTGGAACTCTGACTCTGGAATAAAATACAAAATGCAGAATAAATGTTAAAGTTATAGTCATGAATTGCTTAATGATGGGGATATATTCTAAGAAATGCAGTTAGCCAGATTCATCATTTTATATGAACAATGTAGAGTATATTAACGCTAAATGAAACAGCTACCATGTCACTTAGTAATGTAATCTTATGGGATCACCATGGTATATGAGGTCCAATGTTGACT